TCCAAGGGCCGCTCTACATGCCTGCCCTGCAAATGCTGCAGCAGCCACCCTTGGAAACCCATGAAGCCCTGAGTCCCCGCGCTGTCCCACCTCGGCTTAGGTAGACAGAGCAAGGGTGACAGCAGTGGGCCGACTTCCCACATGAACAAAGCCCAAAGCATCGGGGTGCATTATAACTGCAGGGTCATTTCTCTCTCCTGATTCCTCCGCCTTTCGGCTGCGCTTGGCTCATATTCCCAAGGAGGCTTCAGACTCCTCCTCCTCCCTTCCTGAGGCTCTCTTGCTTTCATTGATCACTTGACTCCAGGAGCAGGGGCTTTAGGAAACTCACCAGGGACAGCCAGACTCTTGCTCCAGCCCCGAGAGCCAGCATCGCTCACACGAGGTTTGGAGCTGAGTCGACCTCTGGGAAGAGCCTGGCGCTAATTTGAGTGGGAGAAAGTTTAAATCAGCAAGGGATTGGATGTGTTCTTGGAGGAAAGGGGCATCAGTCACTATTGAGCAGGGGAGCTCAATTGTCAGGATACAACCCTGCACTGAGAGGGGCAGAGCAGGGAGACGGGGCAGAGCCGCCTGCTGCAGAACCACAGGCTCCAACCACCCGAGCCAAGAGCGACTTTCTCAGTTGGTGGCAGTACAAAGCCGATGTCTCACACTCGAGTGGGACTGAGTCCGGTCCATGCAGAGCGGCAGCCTGTCTGCCTAGTGTGTGTGTGGGACATTAATAGGGGAAAGCCTTGCTTTCTTGGAGGGGCTCAGGGGCACTCAGCCCACCATCTCCATGTAAGCTCTCAAGAGCAGGGGTTGGCGGAAGCTCTCAGCCCTGCTCCCCTGTGTCCTGCTGCATGCGGGGAGACAGCAGGCACTGAGCGGTGCTCTACAGGGGTGGAGATGGAGACAGAGCAAGCTGGAGGACCAGCAAAGCACTGGTGGGCATCGAAGCTCCTCACCTTCCCTGCTGGCACCCACCACTGTCCATTGCCACTCTGAGCTGGGGGCAGCAGCAGTGGTGCTAGCAGCTGCCAGGTTTGCTTTGGGTACTGTGAGCGAGCCTGGAGAGAGGCCAGGTTGCTCCTGGCTCTCCTGCGTGTCGCAGGGCACCACCCCGTAGCTTCCTGGTGGGCTGGCCATGTGGGGCGGGTGTTGTTCAGTGAAAGTCCACAAAGAGCAGCCTAAAGAAGCCCCTTCCAGCAGGGCTAGCTGAGCATGGCATAACTGTGTGTGCCTAGATTGGATGCATCGGATAGCCCAAAAGCCCCAAGCCATGTGCTGGGACGTGTACAAGCGCAGTGAACACCAGGCCCAGCCCCAGATGCTCCAGCCCTTCTGATCCATCCAGAAAGACCCCAAAGCACCTTGCCCTCTGCCCTGTTGCTGGAAGGCAGCTGCCTCTGGTGCTGAGCATGGCAGCTGTTTAACAGCTGGCAGCTACGCCATGCAGCTTGCATCAGAAGGAGAAAAGATGGGGACCAGGGCCATGGGGTAGGACTCCCCACTGGAGATTAGGAGACAGAGCAGCTGTGGTTTGCAACAGTCATGCTCAGGGCAGCCACTCCTCTCTCCTGACTGATAGGGGCAGAGGGGCCAACAGCCAGGGCCTCGGGGGAGAAGCTGGCATCTCCTATCAACTGCCACCATGTCAGTGCGTGCCCGGCGTCTGCGATGCCCTGGCTGATGTCAGGGTTGTTTGGTTCTCTGCCGCAGGAGCAGGATCTGTGGGGGTTGGGTCCTCGCCTGTATCTCGTCCGGCAACACAACACTCATTGATTTATCAGCTGCCGCATCCTCTGCTCTCTTCCTTCCCTTTGTGCTTGCCTGCCGCGGCTGACTGAAAGGAGGGATTCAAAGGCTGGAGCCAAGGTCTGGGGGAGCATAGAGGCACCCTTCAATGTGCACAGCCTGTGTTGGGCAGGGACCGAGGGAGCCGGAGGCTTTGCTCTGGCCGTCGTAGGCTGGAGGTGCAATGGCTGTGGCTGTGTGGGGGGCTTGTTTCCCCAGGCAGCTTCACCAGGCCCTTGGCATGCTGCCGCAAACAAGACCCCAATTCCTAACTCGGGAAAACGCAGCCCTGTGCTGCAGAGCAACTGTCTCAGTAGAAAGGCCAAGAGCAGGTTGGGCCAGCAGGATCCTGCCGAGGGGTGTCCTGGGCTCTCGCTGGGCTGGTCCTACACACTCCTGGCTCAGTTATTGCTAATGGGGAAGAGCCGGTGCTGGAAGCTGGGCCCTGTTACGTGATGAGGGCAGCTCTGGGTTGAGTCCCCAGGGTGTTTGCAGCGGCATCTTTTGGGCTTGGGTTCAGCCTGCTTTTCCTGCCCGTTCCCTGCAGCCAGGATTTCCCTCGAGCGTAGCAGCATCCCGGGCAGAAGATGTCAGCCCAGCTCCGTGTCTGCCTAGGGCAAGAATCGGGGGTCACGGGGCTTCACAGGCCTTCGGCTGGCTGCAGCCTTTTGATTTGTGAGCTCTGGGTTGAGCTGGACCACGTCATTTTTTTGCACATCTTCAAGCATGGCCAGGCTGGTTGCAGCCCTGTCCTTGCCGCCTTGTGCAGCTCCCCAAGCTCTGGAAAGGGAATGACGCTGATGTGCTTCAGACCAGCAGGAAGGAGCAGCAGCAGTGCTGAGCACCAGCCTGGCTTTGGAAGTGGCTCTCAGCAGATGTGCTTGCAGACAGGGTCATCACGACCCCTGAGCACCACCTGAAGCCCCTACAGTCCCAGCAGGAGCAACTGCACCCCAGCAGGGGAAGGGAGGTTGTTATCATTCTGTTTAATTGCCTGCAAAGTTGTTGCCTGGGGTTTAGCGCTCCAGTCCCTCTGGCCCAGCTGGCATCGCCCTGGCTGCCCCTGCCGCGGCTCAGGCTGCCCTGCTTGGAGTAGCTCACGCAGCCAGGCTGGGGCAGGTTTCATCGCAAAACCCCGCAGCACGTGGAAAGGGTTGCCCCGCTCTGGGCTTCATGCCAGCCCAGCTTGGAGTCGAGGGAATCCCTGCCAGGTCCTACAGTCTCCTGGGGACTCGGAGTATACATCCTCCTTGGCCTTGGCACGAAGCCCCGTGAAGGAGAGAGCCCTTCCTTGCTGCTCTGTGTGTTTTGAAGCCCGTGTAAAATGCCCGTCTCCCTCCTAGCTCGAGAGGGGGTTTCCTGCCTGCCTTGTTCCTTAGAAATACTGAGGAAGTCTGCCCCTGCCTCCCCTTGTTGGTGTGACTCAGAGATGCTCTTGGGAGCTTGTGTGTGCCTGTGTGACATATATACATGCTTTGGTTGGTCTATAAGGTGTAAATCTACCCTGCCTTCTGCTTTGAATTGATGCCAGTTTACTTCTTAACTGGGTCCGGACATGTGATGGGCTGGATTCAGCCTCCAGAGCCCGGCTAGAACAGCTCCGTCGGCTTCAGGGGCGTTCCTCTGGCGTTGTACCGGTGCGCTGGGAGCAGGATTTGGCCAGGCTGGTCTCTGCAAAGCTTGATGTCACCCCAGGTGGGGGGGAGCAGCTGGCTGGGGCAACCCAGGCTGGGCCAGGGAGCTGCTGCAAGCGTCTCAGCCGTGGCTGGTGTGTGTCCAGCCACTGCGCAGCGGCCCCTGCAGTGTGTCGCCTTGGCTCGGGTCCCATCCCTGCTTGCAGTGTGCGTCTCTCCAAACCCTCTTGGTTTGGGGATGAGTCAGAGCCCAGGCAGGAGGAGGGCCCGTCATTTCCCACTGCTGCGGGGCCGGGGTTGCATGCACGCAGGGAACAGAGCGCTTCGCGACCTCACTCTGGCTCCAGCCACGTTGGGGGCTGGACTCCCCCAGGAAGGCCTGGGACGGATGCATCCTCGTTCAGCCGCCCGTGCCAGCCGTGCGTTCTCTGCGCCCGGCCTCTTCCTTTGTGCTCAGCAGCCCTTGGAAATCCCCGGGCTGGGTTCAGAGAGCTGGGCCAAGGGCGTGGGATCTGCCTTGCCCTCCGGTCCGTCTTCCCCAGGCCAGGCCCTGACACAGAACAGCTGGGACCAGAGCGGGCGGTCTCAGGCCACGGCAGCACCAGAGTTCGGCTCAGCTGCCACCAGGAAAGGCGAGGATGCTGGTGCCCCACTAGTCATTAGTGGCTCTTCGCTAAGAGCCTTTGGAAGTTGCAGAAGCATCCTTCTGGGTCTCTCTGGCTTTCTCTTACTCCAGCTTTGAGCCCGGCACTCAGGGTAGCTTGTAACCGGCCACTGCCTCCTGTGCCCGCCACGTGTTTCTTTGAGGCCTGCCCGGCGCATTCACGGCAGCCTGCGTTGCGGAGCGGGCGCCGCAGTCGGTCTCATCCTGCACATCCTCGCGGCCACAGGGGCCTCCTCGGCTGCACGGCGGCTCCCTGCTTCTTGTGTACTGCAGCTTCATCTCCTGGCAGCCTTTTCGTTTGGTCCGGGGTAGACCGAGGCCTGGGCCATGGGTGCCCCTCGTGGTCCACAGTCCACTTCAGCCCTAGCCCATGTGTTTGCTTGCCAGAGCTGGCAGAGTGTAGCCCACATGAATAGCCTCAGCCCCTGGAGACCCCCGTGCAGAGCAAGCGTCTCTCGACAGGAGAGGCGTGGGGGTACCTGATCCATGTCCCCACCACGTGTCCCGAGTTAAACAGAGGCAGGGAGCACAGCCGGGACGGCCATCTCCTCTGCTCATCTCTGCATGCCCACAACTCCTGCCAGGGGGTATCTGGCTCCTCCACGAGACCAGGAGGCCGAGGAGAAGATCCCGGGAGCTGTCGTCTGAGCTCCACTCGCACCTCACCCTGTCGGAGTGGAGATGCCGGTCTGGGGGAGTCTTCCCTTTGTCCAGGGAGCGGGGAAACGGTGCTGCGGTGCCAGCCCAGGTGCTGAGCAGCTGTCAGGGCACTGAGGGGTTCGTTGGCAGCATCCACTCGCGCCAGAGCCTGGAGCTGGTAGCCCGGCTGGGCGGGCGCAGGGGGTTCACAGCTCCAAGCCCGAAGCTCGGTCTTAGCTTTTTCTGCTAACGCGTGCTCTTTGCCCCTCTGCTTCCCCCTCCAGAGCTCCAAACCAAAGCTGCGTGCGAGCTGTTCTGCCATCCAGGAGGTCCGCCGGTGCACCCGCCTGGAGATGCCCGACAACTTCAACACCTTTGTCCTTAAGGTAGGACTTGCCATCCCTCCTAGGCCATGGGTGAAGGGTCAGGGGCAAGAGG